TTAGTCTGGAAACACGTTTGTCAGCTGTGGGTGAGGGTCAGATGTACCCCTGCCAGGGCTCGGTGTGGTAGTTCCAAGCTTTCCCTTCGCTGTCTTTTTTTTCCACTCCTTTTATTATTTTCCTTTGCTAGTGGAGTTCTCTGGCCCCAGCCTAGTGGGCGAGTTCAAAGCAAGGAAAAACGAGAAACCCTTGGCTCCGGAGCCACCTTTTTATTTGTCCTCATTTAATGACATATGTGGTTTTGCCCTGGCTGGAGGGCACGTCTTCTTTCGCTCAGGCGGAGGACTCATGCACCTACCTTTCCTTTTTAGGACTTCGGGAACACAGCAGTTCAGTCCAACGGGGAAATACAAAGCAGATGGAGTCTTAGAAACAGTACGGCTTTCTGGACGGTTATCACGCAACCTCTGGCTTTGTTTGGGGCCTGTCTCCTTTCTCTAAGTAAATCCTTCCTCAGCTGGGATGGGCCAGCCCTCCATGCGGCCCTGGCCTGCAGAGACCTTGCCTAGGCTGGGGGCGAGGTCAGAGATGGGGTGGCTCTGGGGTCGAGCATTGGTCAGAACTGGCTTTACGGCCAAAAGGCCGACTGGCCGACGGTGACACGCAGGGCTGACGTTCTGCGGCTGCCTGTGCATAGCGCCCATTAGCCAAGCCCCAGCTTTCTCTGGTCCCTCTTCATACATCTGTAGCAGCTTCTCTGCATTCTTTTGGGAGGGTGGTGGGGTGGGGGTGCCATGAGAGCGAGAGGAAGTTAGGGAGTGGGGAGAATTTGACCGCACGGAGCACTAGCCCCAAAGCCAGTGCCAAGTAATACAAAGTGAGGGAACTGAGACACGTCTCTTTTGTGCTTTTCGAACTACGAAACCAGAAGGTTTTCAAAAATTAGCCACTTTTACACTGAAGATTTTTGTGTTAACTCACTAGTGTCATGGCTGCTTCCCGTTACACTGGGCACATGGTCTGTGGGGCTTGACCCAGCCTGGCCACTGTGACTTGGATGTGACATCCGGTGGCCCTGCACACCGCCACCCCCAGCCTTGTCTCAGGCACGGGCGACCAGCTCCAGCAGGCCTCCTCCACCATGCAGGCCCCTGTGGTCTTTGTTTTCACCCCTGGCAGCTGGAATTCACGGCCTTCTAGAGGAAGGGGCAGGCCTGCCCCCCGCCCTGGCTGTGCAGGGCTTGCCCGTAGCTTGCACACTGGTGTGGACGTGCCTCTTAGCCCCAGCACTGAAGGACGCTGCTCTCTGACGCAGGGACAGCCCTGGGTGTGGCTGGTCCAGGGTGGGCACTATCCCGGGTCTAAACAGCTCACCCCATGTGTCGGTTTCTCCTCAGCTCCTCCTTCACACTGTGACCTGCTACGACGAGCTGGTGGCCTTCCTTCAACAAAGTGTCCAGCAGGTACGGGCCGTGCTTTCTCTGCAGGTCATGCTCTGCCGAGCCTCAGTTCACTGCAGAAGGGACACTGGGGAGCCTGGGCCGTGTCCACCTCATCTCCACCCGGGGTGTCAAGTGGGGAGCTGAGGCTGGTCCCTGGCAGTGGGGCTGAGGACAGGGGCCCTTTAGACGGGAGAAGAGTGGCCCTGGAACGGGGAGCCCATTTCTCCATTGCCTCCTGGCCAGCCGCTCAGGCTCAGAGAGCAGCCGCAGCTGGGGGTGGGGGGGAGAGGTGGGC